GTCAGAAATATCCACCTAATATGAAATACGCAGGCATCAAGAAGATTTATGGTGGTCAGTATACCTCACTGAAAATAAATAAAACTTCACATAATATAACCAAGGATATTTATTATTCTCATTCACAAAACATTTAGCGGAAGCAAGTGTAGTGAATACACTCCAGCGAAAACTAACACCTATGAGTGGGCATAAATTGATGCAATATAACCTGTATGGGAGTTGACGAGATGATGCAATCAACTGTATATGCATAAAATAAAACCGGGTGATAATTGAAGGTGAGACAAAAATCTGGACCGCAGCCGGATTCGAACCAGTGACCATCGGTCCAGATTTTAATCTCACCTTCAATCATCACCCAGTATAAAATACTTAACTGCGAAACTCCGGCTCTCTCAGATGGTCAAATGACAAAATGAAACTGTCAATGGTTGTCTGAGAAAAACTTCTAATTACTATCAATTTATTTCAAGAGTAAGCATTCAGTATTTTTGAATATTAGTATTCAGTATGTCTCTAGTTGAACAAGTTTATATACCTCAAACTGTTTGATGCCAAAACATTTGCAACTAGAAAAACATACCTTTAATAGTTATCCAAGGAATGTGGAAAAATATAGCAGCGAAAACATCCAAAACTATAATTTATTTTCTGACTTAAAGGTTTGCTGTGATAGTTTTTGATGAAAAACAGACATTGTTCAGTGTTTTCCAAATACTGGATCATTTATGAATACGGCATCACATCTGCGTCAACTGAACATACATAAGATTATTCATGCTTATCGTGACACTTTTATTGAAATGAACAAGTCAGCATCAGATATTACAGTGTTCCTAATATATAACACTGTCCCAAAAATATTACTTAAAACTGTGCTTCACCTATTCATGTAATCAAGAAGTAGATCTATTTTTGAATAAAGCATGACGATTGAAATTTATGGTAAACAGCAATCTTTTTTTATCCACAGGACTTGATTTTTATCACTCAATAATAGGTGCTGTCAAATAAAGGTTCAACTTCACAACATAATATGAATAACCCGACCGATGGCCTGTCGATATCGAATAATTTCAGAATACCATTCACTTCGTGATGAATAACACCTTAAATTTAATCAATCAGTCAATCCCCGTAAACTCAGTTATTACCAAATGTTCCTTAGTCACTTGCTTTAACATTGATTTTCCGCAGTTCTCACAAGAAGCCATGAACTGTAAAATCAACCATGGCATGTATGTAAACAAGTACTTCGCATCAAACGACCTTCCTTCTGCTTGGTTATATCTAAAGCGTTATCTAGTGAATAATACTGTTCCACTGTGTGAAACACCTAGAAAATCAAATAAATAAAACGCAAAATACTTGAACTGCAAACGTTGAGACGGTTTATTATGTATGTCTCTTCATGATGCATAGAAGTTGAATCCTACAGCATTAACTGTATCAAAGTAACGGTCTAACAGAACCATTCATTTTGATTCCATGATGACTGATAATTTAATTCCATACGAGTTATTTGAAAAGTGTAGTGAAACTGTTGGGACAGGGTTTGGGATGACAAAGTACGCTTTTAATAACTTTAGTGATATTTATTCTTTTTTAAAACAGATGATGTTCAGTGAGGATGATTGATAAAACTTATCCTTTCGTCATTTTATGTTTTCTTGAACTTACCGGTCATAAACCTCACTTTTTGTTTTGAGGTATATAACAATATCTTTTAGAAAAGTCAAACTTCTGGCTGTATATTCAGTTTATCAATTATTTCAACTCAATAATGACAATGTCATACTTTTCCAGAAACTTGGCTTGAATAATGGCAGAGATATTTAATTACTTTTGTGAGTTTCATTCCGAGAAATCCGGAACCGAAGCGATTTTCCAACAACAAATCAAACGCTCGAGTTACGCGTAAAATTTAAAATGCAGGATTTGCTTGAAATTTTATACTTTATGAATAATAACTTTCACACCTCGAATCGTGAGGTATCTGCGAGTTTATCGCTGTGTGTTAACAGTACAACAGCAAGGCTGGGTCCAAGGCAAACCTGAGACGCGCAAACGTTCCCAAGATAAAGTCGAGACACAAGACAAACAAAAGTTCAAGAGAAGCCATAATACAAGAGAGCAACAAGAGGTGATATTAACACTATTAGGAACTGGGAAAGAAACTAATATCTAGAGATCTAAAACGATGAACAAGATAAGATACAACAGAAATTACAGCCAGGTTGAGAATGCACTAAAATTAAGGTAAACTAAGAATATGCTACTTAATATCATATTCAGTAGTATAAAACTAAATAAATAAAATGGGGTAATCAGTAGGAGCTGACCACATACAAAGAATAAACAGCAAGATTTTATCTCAACTTTGTCCAGTAATTAGCCAAATAGTTCAGAGTTATTCCGTTAGTTGAAAAGCAGACAGTATTATCAAAATTTGTTCCCAGCGTTCCTAGTGGAACAAAGAACTTCAGTAGCTCACCTCCATTCCACTCTGTTCCTTGCAGTCATTTCAACCTGAACACACAACTGCCATAAGCATTCATTTCTTCCTCACACCATCTTCTTCATGTCTCCCTAGAACGTACAACTTGTCGTTTCTCTTCCAGATTCAACACGAGGGCCTCACCTCGCCTGACGCATGATATCCCCGAATGGTTGTCTCAGTGTATGCCCAACACATCTCCAATTCCTTCTGCATACTTGTTGGACGATAGGTTCTTGGTTGGTTTGTTGTCAGAGTTTCTTGTTGCTTATTCTTTCTGGCCATATGATATTCAGTATCGAGCTTTGATGGCAGCTGTTGATGAATGTCTGTAAATTCTTGGGTATACCCTTCGTGACGTCCCAAGTTTCTAAAATATATAGAAGCACTGACATGACTGGCATTAGTGTTGAAAATCCGGATCCTTTTCTTTATGCCGAGTTCAGTGCAATAGATCTTCACACTGATTTCCGATTATTGAAGATCTGTCTTTCTTTTCCGATCCTCGATTGGACATCCTCGTCTGTGCCGCCCGTAGTTGAGACGATGCTGCCTAGGCAGGAAGGTGTAAGAAACAACTTCCTTTAGGTTTCTCTCATTGATGCTGACTGGTGCTTATTGTTGTTGTTGGTTGGTTATCCTCATCACCTCCGTCTACTCTGCATTCATTTGAAGCCCCGTTTTCGCCGCCTCTTCTGACAACTTGTTAAATTTTGTCTGTACATCTTCGAGTTTGTGCGACATGACATTAGACACAAATCATCATCGTTGGCGAAATCCAAATCTTCTAGGGTATTTTCGTCGGTCGAACAGCGCATGCCCATCTTCCCATAGCTCATTACGGTTTGCCGCATGATCCGGTCTAGTCCAGTCAACAACAGTCAGGAAGACCATCGGTGATAGTAGGCTGCAACCTTGTCTTACTGCTGTTCCCTGTCTTCACTTGAAAGGCATCACTCAGCTTTCCATTGTGAATCACCCGGCATGTGGCATCATCTAGCATATGGTTGCAAACAGTTCTCCATTCTCATCCATCATCTCACCAAGTGCCTCTTGACCCATGATGAGTTCTCTTCCTGTGTTGTCCGCTCCCAGTTTGACATTCATGTCACCAATAAGAATTTTGATGTCGCCAACTGGGTTGGGGTCTTGTCCATCACCAATTGCAGTTGTCTGTAGAATTCCTCCTTGTCCTCTTGATCCGCATTATTTGTAGGTGCGTAGTGTAGCATTGAATGATTGTGACTTTCCTTCCTTTTGAGTTGAATCTCGCTGTCATGATGCTGCAGGAGGAGATCGGTTCCCACTGCATGAGAGCTTTCGATGATCTTGTGGACATCATGATAGCCACTCGAAAACTCAGTGTGCTCGTGGTGGTAGTCTGGGTAACAATATCGGATATCGGACTTTGCATTTGACAGTTTGGAGAGTCCAATTCCACTCCATCTGTTCTCGTTGATTGCTATCACTTCTATGCTATATCTTCTCATTTCTTTTGGTATCCGTGAAGCCTTTCCAGCTTCGAACATTGTGCGGACATGTTCCTATGTTTACATTTTCTTTCATCAAGAGAGTAGAAGATAAGTCGTTCATTTGGTTTCTCGAAGTCTTTCATCAACCGGCGTCATTTGAAACTGTAATCGAAATACCTATGTCACACTACCATCTACAAACTTTACACATCCTGTTTATTATCATATTTCAGCTCTGATTTTGTTAACAGATTTGATTTTCAATTGTTGAACCTGGCGAGAATTTTCATTTTATCTGTTCATTAGATGTGTCACATTCTGAAACATTGTTATTTACTGGATAACAGTAATAATGTGACACATCTAATAAATAGTTTAAAATGGAATCACAAATTACCGCACTAGCCAAGTTTTACTCATACACTGAAGTGAAGTTATCGAAAAGAGTATGTCTGATCCATATTTGACTGTTTATATAAGGACAAAATGTTTTTGTACACATCGAGTTGTTTTCAACTTGCACAGATCTCAATACGCATCCTGGATGACTTAAACGGATTTCTGTGAAAGCATTTTCGGAATTAATTCCGTGAACCAATTCCATATTATGTTCACCATAAATAAAGAGGGTTGCCTTTCGCCTAAGGTTATCAAAGTTTCACCGTTTCTAAAGTCACTTAGGTACATGTTGTCCCACAGTCAACAGCATGGATGGATTGTTCCTTCCTGTGTGTTTGAGTTCCCATACGTAAGTTAACTGATAAAAGCTGTGGGATGTGACACAATCACCTATACACTGTTTAGTTTTGTGAAGAAGGGCTTGCTTTGTCTTACCACAATGATAAGATTATATTGTATCATATGTTTTGCTAGTGACATATGTCAGCTACAGTCTCAAAACCATGCTATTCTGTTCCCCTCTGTATGCTTTGTTTACTATCTGGCCTTTAAGTTCTACCCAGGGAAGACAGTCGTTGAGAATATACTACGCTATTTTGACCAACAGAAAGCGTAGGAAGTCTTGATATGTTTTATACATATATTAGTTTCATAACCAGTAATCTATTGCAGAAATGCAGTCGTCAGAGGAGGACTTCTTTTTCTGCATGATTTAAGCAACTGAGTGTTTTTTCACAGTTTAAATATGCGATCCACTGACGGCATCTTCTTTTGTTATCTAATCAGCTGGATTTCTCCAAAACACACAGCGGTATTTATCATACTTGAATTGTATAGATAGAAAAGGTTCATGACTGAAATTTGACCAAAACGATCCATCAATAATGAACACCTGCCATAATCCACCATATTTCTGATCTAAATGCTTCTTAACATCGTTAGCTATAGTGCTTATTGACTTTTCATCTGTATACTCAGATTTCAGTATTTCTTTAAATGTCCTTGTTATTTCACATTGTCTTTGTTTCGTCATTGAACTGCTTAAAATTTCGATATCTGGATCTAATTCGGGTGCTTTACCTGCTGCCATATTCTGTCTATCCTTCTTTTCTGTCAACCTAAAGGGAAGAAATCACAAAGCATATAACTGTATATTTCAAAACGGACAAGTGAAAAATAATTCGAAAGAAACATTTGATTGACAAATATCAATATTCACAAGCCTAAATACCTGAAAGATTGAATTTCGTCAACTTTGTTTGTATAGATAATGAAAATCCTTGTTTGTCAAGTAAACGACTGCTTCGTCAGTAATTGAAGAAATCCATCAACTGGTCTGCGAAAAATGAATGCACACTTTAATTGCTGAAAACTACCGTTTAAGCTAAGCGCATGACTCTTCCACAATTAGGTTGCATTTGTTGTTATGTAGCGAAGCGTCAATAAGAAGACACTATGAAGTAAAAACTCTTCTGAGTTGATGACAAACAGAGCATAATATTTAGACATGATTGCACAACACATTTTATCATTATGTATCCTTCTTTCAAAATAAATCCAGCTTGAGTAATTTAAAATCTTTGTTTGATGTTATTCCTCTAGAAACATTGGACACTAGAGATTTGTAGGTTGAAGAAGAAAGACAACATACGTTTCTCAAGATGAAAGTTCTTTCTTGATCTGACAATCATTTTATTATTGCATAGTCTGTGAGATCATAACTCTCATTGGTTTGGTATATTTCCTACAGAATACTGTCTCAATAAAAGTGAAGACTGTAAATACCATCAGTAATACACGATTTAAACTAAACTGTACTTTTCAATCGAATCCAGTAAAACTGTACGTTTTCAGTCTCCAAACCAAAGAAACTAAAATTTCTACAAAATTAAACTGTATAACCAATATTCGAATAAATTGTTTTACTGGTCAGTTCTCGGCACGAATCTAGCAGGAAAATACAAAATCAGTCTTTGCGAATGACTTCAAAACTTCCACTTGTCAACAGATTATGTATTTCACTTTTAATGTTGGGCATAATTCATGAATCAAAAATCAGAGAAAATAAATAAGCACGAGAAAAATATTTAATCGAAGTGTGGGATTTTATAACCACCAATTGCTTCTGAGACCTAATGACACAAATAACAAAATCAATCTATGTACTTCAGACTACCGGATTGCAACTTATGATACAAGTGAATTTTACTAGCCTGATTGTCAAAACTTAAACTGTGATTTCACTCATTTCAAAGCTAAAACATACAAATACCAGAAGCACCGGATGAGGACTGTATCCTTTCACGGAGTGAACAGATTTTCAAAATGCAAGCTACCCAAATCCAAATAACTGACCTTTAAGTAAGGTGATAAGTCAAGGATATGGAAATAATAAGTTCCATCTCAAAAAGACTTAGGTTTTTACTGACCAAGAGTTACATCTAGAAACACGAAACTTCTCTGCTATTTCATTGTCTTCAGTAGTTTTTCACATAATTCTGAACCAGTAACTGAGTGCAGTTTCTTCAAATTTCCGACAACTAGTAATTCTTGTTTATAACTCAAAAATCTAATTGAAAACACCTTTAGACTTTTATAGTATTCAAGAGCTGGACAAAGTCCTGTATAAAGTATTACATGTTCAAACTTACATTTCGTTAGGATTGAGACCAAGACCTTCACAGAATTCCAAGAAGGTGATTTTATCGTCCGAATTCGTATCAAATCGTTGTAAAGTTGTCTAAATTAGATAAACAGATGCATATTGATGTGTCGAAGATTTGTAGATGAATGGGAAACAGTAGGAATATACCCCTGTAAAATCCCATTGATCTCGTAACTCGTGATTAAGACGAAGACCAATCTATTCTTTGTAGCCACTTTCTGCAGTGGTGCATCTACATCTGTTCACTTTGTCAGGCTACAAGCATTCAATTCAATTCAACTACACTTGCAGAATCGTTGTGCAATTCATGTCTGGTATTATGTTAACTACCTGAAAAACTCATGCATTTTTATGATAATCCTACTGTTTGTTGGTGATTTGATTCGGAGAATCTATGCGCGAGAAGTTATCCCACGTTTTCTCATCAATCTATTTTGTAAAACTACTGCCAGGAAATCAGGAATAATCTTGACATTGGACATTGTAGAATATTCCATAATTACTGGTAGAAAGATACAAAGAATTACAGAATTCGACACAGTTGTTCATTGATTTACTATACCACATGTCAGAATGAACAATTAAGGGTAACCATATTATAATAGTTATACTATCTTTGAAGGATTGTTGTTTGTGCATTGAAAAATATGCCAGGCCTAGCAACGGTTTCTTCAATGTTAAAGAACTCTAAGCATGCTGTTAAAAACAAACCATCTGAAGCTCTAGCTAGTGGCTGCTCAACATTCACAGTCCTTAGCAGACATATTTGGCAACTTAATAAACTAAATCAGTATTGGAATGTATACATGTTTCCTTTCTTACACATCCTCTCACGACTTAGTTTTGTTTTATTTTATAAACAGTTAATTTTCCTATTTGAAATATATATCTATACATATGATAAATTTCTTTATATTGTGTGATGAAATACAACCGTTGACCAGAAATAATGCTTTAATATTCTGTTCAGCCACTATACATTCAGGAATGTACAACAAAGAAAATGAGTTCATCGAGTGGCAAACGTTTTCCTTCCCACGATTGTCTCTTCCCTTCGCCTATAATCGTGATTAAAACGAAAATCAAAAGTATTTCTTCTCAGCTCTGTGCAATCTCAATATTGATGGAACAAGCCGATAGTAGATCAAACTACCCCTTAGGATGAAAAGAGGTTTGATAAACATGCAATTACAATATTGTATTCATCTTTGTGACTAGGACTGGGGCCCAGAGTACAAGCTTCATCCTATTTAGGGCTTCTCAACTCGAGGTACTTGTACCCCAGTGAATGATGTTGTTCCTACTGAGACTCGAAAGTAGAACCTACCACTCAAAACGCTAACGCGTCATCTACTCAGTCACTGGGGCTTGGAGCGTGTTTATTAAACAGAAATTACAATATTCAAACAGTTCAGTAATACTATTTAAATCATTTCCTGGGAGAACGTTCACTTGGCTTGTCACTGATATCTGCTGAAATCACTGTTAATTAGGTAGCCAGTATTGATAATAATATGTAAATAATTATTAGCTGAATAAGATTTTTATAGTAGTCTGTGCTTAGTGTAAACATTATTCATCTAAAGTCAAGTTAGTTAATAAAATTCACACCGTACAAATGCATTTTATAATTGTAGAATCTGAAGAGAATTTATTGAAAAGAATAATCTTCTTTCAGATTGTTGACTTTTATGAAATATTTCCACCTAGAGAATGAATAATCGACTGTAATGAGTATAATTATGTGTATCTCAAACATATGTGAATCAATCCATTACGCAGGACTGTCAATCTTTCGATTATGCAGGCTAGTCACATATACTTAGAATAAATTGGTCTACTTCACAGAACTGATCTGCATAAAACTTGCTGACCTTAGCTTCAAACTAACTAAAAGAAACATCCCCATTTTGATAACATCAATAAGTCAAGGTTGTGGCTTAGTATCCGGTAAACCAATGAATTGATTAGCTCAGCGTCGTTACTACTGTTAAACTGACGCAAACCAAGGGAAATGAAATTGTCAGAATAGGTAGAAGTACTGTTTTGGTACTTTTAAACATTATTGTAATCATGGAATTACTATCCATTGTCACACCGTACTTCACTCAGTTAATTTAGTAATTGTTGTCTTTTTTGAGAGGTCATTCATGAATTGGTTGACTACAAATTGTGATTGATTCGTACACCCTGGAAATTCTGTCTCAGCGTCTCCTGTTGAGGAAGTAGCTAACCAGTTTTCATGTAAGATTTTACCAGATTGCTTAAAAATATTATATTGTTGATGTGTGTTGTGAGTAACCTTTATTATTTTCCCTTAATTTTAATAGGTTTTAGTAGATAGATATTAGCATACCACTAGGATCATGAATATCACTTGTATTTTCATGCAATTACTTTGCCATATAGTGGTGTCAATAAAATTATTTCTAGGGTGAAATGATTTTAAAACTCATTTGATATAAGTTCGGCCTTCTAGATCTAATTAAATATAAAGTAAGACATACACTACGTTTTGATGACAGATTTTTAAAAAGTATATATGTTGATTAAATCACTTGAAATCAAGATTATGCAACTCTCAGTTAAGATTTTAAGAGATCTTTATACTAAACTATCAAGAACAACCATCATTGTTGTACTCAGTAATGTTGAATGAAGTTGGGAAGGCTCTTTTATGATGTTAGAGGATCACTGAATCACTTCCTTTGCTAAGCGTTTTGACGTATTGGTGAAAGTCTTATCCACTAAGAAAAACCTTGATTATAATGATCTACCTATTATTGAGCTGTCCCCTATAGCTCATTCCAAATGAATTTGATGAAGACTGAAAAATTAAATGGATGTCTAGCGAAGTTAACAGGATACAAAAGGTACTGATGAATGTTATAGTGGTGTCAAAACATCCAAATATAATTCTGGATCATCTATGTCAAAATCTGTCATTTCATTATTTACTTATTAGATCCGAGACATTATTTAAATTACTTGTTTCTTTGAAAGTATTTTCATACCTTGATAATTTCAAGTCTACTAAACGTATAAGAAATTATTTTAAATTTGTATTCATCAGGGACTGATATAAAATGGAGAACCATAGAAATTCTAGGAGCAACGGATATGATGTAGCTGAAAATCAGTCTTAGTGCAGGAGACATATACACTTTTAGTCATCCTCAAAGTCTATGACATTTTGTTAAGCTTCATCTCTTTATTCTCTACCTCCTCATACACATTCCTTAAAAACTTAGTGTTACTTTTTTATGCACTTTTTCCATGCATGGTGCAGTGAAGTGTGGTAACTAGGACCATGCGTTTCTCTTTGAGGTTTTAGGCAGATTTTTCTGTTTGTTTGCTTATCTAGCAAAACAAAAGCTTTTGATCCTTTCCCATGGTTATTTACACAAAGCGTTTCGTGGTTATTTTATTCAGAGCAACATTCGAGGGTTTCAGTAATAGTCTTCGTGCCATTAACCTTAGTTAAAACGAATAATTGTGACGCATTTGTTATCTTTTCGTGTTTTGCTTGGTAAATATAGTTCCTCATTCACTCACTTTCTAAAAGTTGACAAAGACATTCAAGGTTTTTTGAATGGTTACGAACCAAGTGTATAAAGCACGCTTTCCGTCAGTTCACAGATGTATGAAATAGCCAATTTCGTGTTGTCTAGTCCCAAGTACTCATTGGTTTTTACCAATCAGTCAGCTAGGAAATTAACTGTCGTGGTACAATTTGATTGGTATGAGATCGCGAGAAGAAATCAGCGGGAATTCGTAAACCCACCTTTTTTGCTTGTTGAACGCTTGTCACTGACTGCCTCTAGTCAACTGGATGGTGCGTTTTCTATCGTTGACCACATTAAAAAGGATCAACAAAATTAGGTCGGGGCTTCGTACTAACGAATATAAAATTAGTGGCTTTCTAGTAGAGCTTATGATTGTAGCATTTGATGACGGAGTTTTAAGTCAGTTCCTTCAATATTAATGATTGGGCTTGCAAAAACCCGAGTTTAGGGATTTTTGGTGATTAGCTTCAACCACCTACTTCATAAGAATGGTGTTATGAGCATCATAAAGACCTCAGAAAGAAACTTCTCACGAGTTAAAAATGATAATAAAAATAATTTATAAACTCAGCTACCTTTATAAATAGATTGCCATTAATTTGTGTAAACCTTTTAAGGGCTTCAGCTACTTTCTCTTCACAAAATTCCTTTTGAATTTTAAAAAGCTCAAAGAACCTAGAGTACTCTATTGATATGTAGCTGTAGGACAACTGAACTTGTGCGTTTCTGAAAGGTTATCAGTTCATGCTAATGCCATGTGAACTAATTATAAGTTAGGTAGCGCTAAATATTTATTTGACCCTCATATTTCTTCTCTGATTTCAAACGGAGAACCTATGAGCTCTGTTATGAAGAAATTAGCTTTTTAACCAAAGGTCAGTCATTTTTTGTTTTGATATAGTTAAACAACTTTCGAGATAAACTAGTTTCTTTGCAGTTAGAGACATGTTACACTTATTTATGGTGGTCAAACTCTTATACTTCCTCAAACTGCACTCCGTTGCAAAAATTAATACAATTCAAATACAGTCTATACCCTCCAGGTTTGATCGCCATTGAGATCACACATTATACTACTAAACAACCACACTAGTTTTTCCACTGACGCAGAACTTTGGTGACAAGGCTTCTTTACATAACGTGATATACTATGTCCACTGACTATTCTTTTAAGAAACGTTAAAAAATGTGGCCAACATTTATCAAGCAAATTTATCAGATGTCTAAGAACAAAAATTAAACAACGACTGACGACTGGGGTTATGGAGATTTGAATTTTATAGATATGACTGACAGTTTAGGGAGTCACACCATTTGAGTTAAAAACAGAACATAAAGTCCTATTCGATAGACACGAGAGGGATTTTGTTGTACACTTATAAAAGTTTAAAAATAACTCACTTGTACCATACTCATATCCAGATTCTCTTTTTTGCAATATTTCACCAGCTCATCTTTCTCAATCCTGCCATTATTATTGCTATCAAGTGTCAGAAATATTTCAATGAATTTCTCCATAATGTCACTACAAGTAATCTTCTTTTGGCCAAATTTTTCTTGGTTCAGTTAAAATGATTCACAAAATCAAGATTATGCTTTGACTACGCTAGTTTATTATGGCTTCACTTGATAATTCAATAATATCATTCTAATCCTTTCTACAGATTAACTTTCTTTTTATACGTACGTGACATTTACATTTTAGACAGAAATATTTCTGAACTATAAGTAGTAGGTTCTTCTCTGTTCTTTATTTGTTGATGCTTTAACTTGCCTACAAACTAACTAACTGGCGCAAGTTTGTGCGCACACTGATAGTAAAATAGGTGTGCTATGTGAGTATGTGAAAGTCTGTTCACGTAAATATAATGAATACACAGAGGTATATAATAATAATATAATTAGTCTGAAAAAACACTCAAAGTTGATATCAACGGGGAATCAATTCCATGTTTTTTAAATGTTTTTGAACTACTCAGTAAGTACTTTTATTCGAGAAGAGTACTATCAAGAAGAACAAGTGTCATATACATAGTAGTAACTAGTTGCTTCGTCTTACGATAATACACCACAGTAATGCAAACTCTTGGTTTACCTTAAAAAATTTAAGCTTTAATGGTAACTGCACTGCACGTCAACAATTTCACCATTTCTCAGTTCAGCAAGTCTATCAATTGACGTTACCGTCATTCAGTACAGATGGATATGACAAATCTTGACCCTAACTGAATCTAAGCTGTTGGCTTTTAATAACCATTAGATCACAATTTCATCTGAGAAGTAACTCAAATATAAACGATGATCTACTATCTAAATTGACTGTATTTAAAATTTGACTAATTCAGAGGTATTGCTTAAATTGTTAACCCCGCTGCTTTTGCCTCAGAAGTCATCATTTGATCTAAATTTATCATCTTTACACAAGTAAAAATATGGTTGGAAAAATAAAAGTTGATTTCTCTGATGATGACGCATCCAATAGCTGCTAATTAAGCCTCTATGGAGCGTAAACCACTAAGTTTAAGGTATATTGTATAGAATTTTGGATGCTCACACTTTGTAGAACTATGCAAGTATTTTTCAGGAGTCGTCAAAAAATGTGTTCGGGAGTTAGAAGTAATAACGTCTTGCAAAATCAAAGTTTGGTTAACACTGTGAACTATACAGAATGATACTCTTTCTTACCCATTGGACGATCTGTATTCCAACTGCATTCTTTGAACGACTCTCAGCTGATACGAGACTATAGAAATACATTGCTTATTGTTCTGATCTTGCAAGAACTTTAGATGGACACCTCGTTGTCAGTGATCTAAGATAAATTTGTGCATTTATATTGATATTAGGAAATGAAGTGATGGTGAACCAACTACTGAGCAAGAAAAACATTGGCGAATACAGGAAGTGATAAACAAAAGAAAAAGTACAGTGATTTTTATAAATACATTTTAAGAGAAACAAACTGAAAGTATCATACCATGAGTTTAACGTTTAGCTGTCAACACACTAATCGAGCAGCAGCTCTCTCTTTGTCTGTATTTAGAGATGAAGTTGAAATCCTGTAGTGACAATGAGCTGAGCGGGACGAAATATACTCAAAAGTTGTTTAAAATGTGTATTTTTCCATTAGTGACTAGATATTTGACACAGGAGGATAACTTTAACGGCTAGATTTGTTCTAGCTGGATGAGTAAGTGATTTTTATTGAGTATGCCAACTCCTAAATTTTCTGTTAAACTCATTTTGTTATCCATTCCTACAAAGACAAATTTCCAAGAAATGTTTATCCAATTTACCATTACTAAAAAATAGAAAACAGCTGACTTTATCAAAGAACGGTGTGACCCACCACATTTACAAATAAAGGCAATGAAATTACTCCCTTTCATCGGTTGAAAGTAGTTGGTAGTAGATTTCTCACTCAAGTAAGACGCTTGTTCGCACTTCATCAGCAATACATATCTCTTGAAAAGTGCTCATATTCTGTTAGAAATATGAGTTGATCTCTTTCAAGATGTAATTCACGGATAATGCTAGTGAGCTGTCTGATCTCTGCCTAATTATCTACTTGAATGAAATAAATTCAGTCATTAGTCTTTGGTAATAGTGACAGAAGAGTTCCCCAAGCTTGATAAAAAAGGATTACTGCAGTTGATATTACTAGTGTCTTTTATGAAATCAACAACCAATGAAGCTTAAGAAATGCATATATCAGATTTCTTGCATATTTCATTAGGTTAAACCACAGTTAAAAGCCTCTCATCAAAACATATATGCATTCCTAACTACTTGAAATTATCTTTTCAAAAGTGTACTCATAAATGGAGTCTATTCCTAGGCACTCAGAACATCTTGGTCTTAACCCTAAAGGTTAAATAACTTCTTTCGAATTTAGATTACACTATTATCATCATAATATTCTCTACAGTTTGGTTATTTTCGATCATATCTGTGAAAATAACCCTATTCTCCTCACATTTGAATCGAGTAAAAACAAGAAACAGCAAATGAAATTTGTCTTCACAGTTCGCAGCAGTGCAAACTAAGGTAAAACCTTTGCCTAAATTACGTATATCTTACACGTTCTCGCCTTGAGCCCTTGAAAATTCGGTTTCTCAGACATCTTCAAAGTTGTTACTGATGCTATATGACTATATTGTTTTAAAGAGGCAAAGTACGAGCTAATATTTATTCCTAATACACCCTGAGTGAATGAAAATACAGGGGCATGGTGTACAACACTTCGGCGTTAAAAGAAATCGGTACTAAGTCTGAGTTCGGACAATGCCATTCACCAGAAGGAACCCACATCCAACACGCAAATCCCAACCAGAACAACACGCTCATCTTGGAATCCATTGCTAGCCATTATCCAAAAATAATATGTATACAACCCTGACTGGTTAACTAGTTCACTAGTTACTAATTGGTGCTAAGAAAGGATGAAGAGGGAATTCTAGGCAAAGGGCTAGCAACCCTACACCCTAAACCAATCCACTGGCTTAAGAAACTTCGAAACACAAAGAAAATATGAATTATAAAATTAAACTTATTTCTCTGTGGAATCTGGGAGATGGAATGACGCCGGTTGATGAAAGAGTTCGAGAAACCAAATGAACGACTTGTCTTCTATTCTCTTCATGAAAGAAAATGTAAACATAAAAACATGTCCGCACAATGTTCGAAGCTGGAAAGGCTGCACGGATACCAAAAGAAATGAGAAGATATAGCATAGAAGTGATAGCAATCAACGAGAACAGATGGAGTGGAATTGGACTCTCCAAACTGTCAAACGCAAAGTCAATAATCTTATCCGATATCGTCACCCAGACTATCACCACGAGCGCACTGAGTTTTCGAGTGGCTATCATGATGTCCACAAGATCATCGAAAGCTCTCATGCAGTGGGAACCGATCTCCTCCTGCAGCATCATGACAGCGAGATTCAACTCAAAAGGAAGGAAAGTCACAATCATTCAATGCTACACTACGCACCTACAAATAATGCGGATCAAGAGGACAAGGAGGAATTCTACAGACAACTGCAATTGGTGATGGACAAGACCCCAACCCAGTTGGCGACATCAAAATTCTTATTGGTGACATGAATGTCAAACTGGGAGCGGACAACACAGGAAGAGAACTCATCATGGGTCAAGAGGCACTTGGTGAGATGATGGATGAGAATGGAGAACTGTTTGCAACCATATGCTAGATGATGCCACATGCCGGGTGATTCACAATGGAAAGCTGAGTGATGCCTTTCAAGTGAAGACAGGGAACAGCAGTAAGACAAGGTTGCAGCCTACTATCACCGATGGTCTTCCTGACTGTTGTTGACTGGACTAGACCGGATCATGCGGCAAACCGTAATGAGCTATGGGAAGATGGGCATGCGCTGTTCGACCGACGAAAATACCCTAGAAGATTTGGATTTCGCCAACGATGATGATTTGTGTCTAATGTCATGTCGCACAAACTCGAAGATGTACAGACAAAATTTAACAAGTTGTCAGAAGAGGCGGCGAAAACGGGGCTTCAAATGAATGCAGAGTAGACGGAGGTGATGAGGATAACCAACCAACAACAACAATAAGCACCAGTCAGCATCAATGAGAGAAACCTAAAGGAAGTTGTTTCTTACACCTTCCTGCCTAGGCAGCATCGTCTCAACTACGGGCGGCACAGACGAGGATGTCCAATCGAGGATCGGAAAAGAAAGACAGATCTTCAATAATCGGAAATCAGTGTGAAGATCTATTGCACTGAACTCGGCATAAAGAAAAGGATCCGGATTTTCAACACTAATGCCAGTCATGTCAGTGCTTCTATATATTTTAGAAACTTGGGACGTCACGAAGGGTATACCCAAGAATTTACAGACATTCATCAACAGCTGCCATCAAAGCTCGATACTGAATATCATATGGCCAGAAAGAATAAGCAACAAGAAACTCTGACAACAAACCAACCAAGAACCTATCGTCCAACAAGTATGCAGAAGGAATTGGAGATGTGTTGGGCATACACTGAGACAACCATTCTGGGATATCATGCGTCAGGCGAGGTGAGGCCCTCGTGTTGAATCTGGAAGAGAAACGACAAGTTGTGCGTTCCAGGGAGACATGAAGAAGATGGTGTGAGGAAGAAATGAATGCTTATGGCAGTTGTGTGTTCAGGTTGAAATGACTGCAAGGAACAGAGTGGAATGGAGATGAGCTACTGATGCCCTACTTTTCATCGGGAACCCAAGGGAAAAATAATAATAATAATATTACCAATAATTTTAATACAGTCTATCGAGAAGGAAAAGACTGACTTTCAAATTTATTATATAGAACAAATCTGAAGCCCACCATGGAGGAAATTTCATTGCATTCACTGTTGATAAATATTCACTGCAGCTCATTACTGAAGAGTCGTTTCATTAATTATTTCGTTTAACTAAATCAAACACGATCTTCTGCTTAGTTTCAAATTTGTACAGCCATATGACGTAACCTTATTTTGCTAAATAGTTTAGTAGGGAAATTTCACTTCTCACACATATAGGGTGATAGCATTATTTGGTCAGCAGAATGTAAACATTTACAAAGCCTTGGTGATTCGAATCATTTGAGCTGAGGATCTGTTTTGAAATCATTTGAATAGCTTAAATTTCTCGTCAGCTCAAAGTGAAAATTTCTGTATCCGTGTACTTAACAG